ATATTAATGATTTCATATGGTTCAATCTAATACTCAGAAGTAGAATTGTTGGATCATGTAAAATGCATATATTCAATTTTAGTAGATTCTGCCAAATAGTTTTCTAAAAATCTTGTACCAACTTAATCTCCTGCCAACAATGTATATAAGAGTTACTGCACATTCTGGCCAACACTTGGTATTATAATTTTTAATTATCGTTTTGATTTCTTGGTTACTGATGAAGTTGAACATTTTTTTATTTGTTTTTGACCATTTCGATTTCTTTTGTGAAGTACCTATTCAAGTCATTTGCTCATTTTTCTGTTGGAAGGTCTATCTTTGTCTTATTGACTAGAAGGTGTTCTTTATATATTCTAGATATGAGTGTTTGATTGGTAAGTGTCTCGCATATATCTTCTCCCATTTTGAGGCGCATCTCTTCACTCTCTTAATGGTGTCTTTGATGAACAAATATTTTCCCAATTTTAATGTAGTCAAATTTATTCATCATTTCTTTTATAGTTAATGACTCTTGTGTCTTATCTAAAAAGACACGAGATCTTTACCATAAGATCTTGAAGATATTCTTCCAATTATCTTTGTTTTGCTTTCCACATTTAGTTCTGTAATCCATGTGAAGTTGATTTTTGTGTACAGAGTGAGGTTGAGGTCTAATTTCATTTTTTTCCCCAATGGCTATCTAGTCAGTCCTTAGCACCAATTAATGAAGAGACCATCCTTTCCCCACGGCTCCAAGGTGTCACTTCTGCCAAAAATCAGTGTCCATATGTGCCTGCATCCATCCGTGGCTCTGTTCATTGGTCTGTTGATCTATTCCTGCACTAATACCTCATTGTCTTATTACTAACTTTAGTAACTTTAGTAAGTAATAAGACAATGAGGTATTAGTGCAGGAATAGTAAGTAAGCTCCCTATCTTGATCTTCTTTACTAAGAGTGCCTTGGTTATCCATATCCTGCATTTTCATATGAGTTTTAGAATCAGCTTAAGTTTCACAAAAAAAGTCTGTTGGGATTTTTATTAAGATTGCATTTAATCTATCAATTTATTTAGAATTTATATCTTTACAATAGTCTTTTAATCTAAGAATAAAGTTTATCTCTCCATTTAATAAGGTCTACTTAATTGCCTATCAAAGTTTTTTTGAGATAAAATTCATCACTTCAACAATTTTGTATTGTGATAAAATTTACCATTTTAATCACTTTTAGGTATACAGTTTAGTGGCATTAAGTACATTCACACTGTTGTGCAACCATCACCATTCTCTATCTCCACAACTTTTTCATCATCCCACCCTGAAACTCAGTACCCCTTAAATAAAATATTTGTTTATCCATTCATCGTCTGATGGACATTTGAGTTGTTTCCACCTTTGTCTTGTGAACATTTGTGAACAGTGCTGCTGTGAACATCGGGATACAGATATCTATTTTGAGTCCTTGCTTTCAATTATTTTGGTATATATATATCTTAGAAATGGAGTTGTTGGATCTTATGGTATTGAGTGATTTTAAAGAGTACCACACATTGGCTTTTAGTACGTTCATAATGTGCAGCCATCACCACTAAGTTTAGAACATTTTATTCACTCCCCCAAAAAAGCGCATATCCGTTAAGCAGTCACTCCCTCAATTCTTAGCAATGATTAATCTGCTTTCTGTCTCAATGGACTTGCCTGTTGTGGACATTTTAAGTGAATGAAATCATACGATATGTAGTCTTTCGCGTCAGGTTTTTTTACTTATTAATGTCTTTGAGGTTCATCTATGTTGTAGCATGTATCCTTTTTAAGACTGAATGATATTTCATTGCATATATATACCACATTTTAATTATATGAGTATGCTACATTATAAATAGACATTTGTCAATAAAATTCTGTTAGATTTATTCCAAGGCACATGTTTCAAATCCTTGTAAATTATATTTTTGTAATATAATTTGAAAATGCATAATTTTAAAACCATAATTGTTTACATAATTTTATATAGGAATATATGACATTGATTTTATAGCCTGTAAGTGTAAAGTCTGATAAACTCTCTTAATTCTAAAAATTTATCCGTCAGTTCTTTGGGGTTTTATATATAACAATCATATCATTGTGATGACTGAATTTTGTTTCTTTATATTATTTCTATTTCTTATGCCATTTATTTTTTTCTCTTATTCTGCTGACTAGAACTTCTAGTACAGTGTTAAATAGAGTAATAATAACCAGCCTTGACTTATTACTGATCCCAAAGAAAAACCTTTACCATTAAATATGAGATTTGCTATAGGTCTATTCATGTTTCAAATGTTTTTTTTTTATCTTAGCTGAAACCTGACTTTCTAGGAGGACTCTTTGGGTTTTAATTTTTAAGAAACATTTAGATGAGCTCCTGAGAGTATTTTGCCTCCGATTCAGTTATTTTTGGCAGTCTTTTTTTTTTTTTTTTTTTTTTTTTTTTTTAGAGAAATTTTTTATGAGTTTATTTCAGCCAGCTGATGAGATATGCTGGGGATTTTTGGCGGTCTTGTATGATTTTTGAAGTCACTCTGACCTGGGTCCAAATATGGCTCTGCTGTATACTCGTGTGATTTTAGTTAGTACTGTAAATTCTTTTAGGGCAAGAACTATGTCTGATTTATTTGATTCTGTATCATTAGCTCTAACTTAAGGCCTAGTACATTGTAGGGCTTAATATATGTATCTTGAAAAAAATGAAGTTATTTAATTTGTGTCTTGGCTTTATTTATAAAATAGGGATTAGTAATCCCTTATAGGCCTTGATGTGATGATTTTAAAAATAATATGGTAGGTCCTCAAATAACATCATTTTCTTCAACGTTGTTTTGTTATAATATTGATGAGATGCTACAGGAACTTAACTCATGTTTATATCAATTAGCCTATAGTAAAATCAGTTTTGCGAAATGTCATTTCGCTTAAAGTCACAGAATCTATTGATGACATCAAGGACCTATTGTATATGTAACATAGTTAACATGTAAAAAAAAAAAAAGAGTGAAAAATAATAGTTTCCTTCCTTTGAGATTTACTGTTTTTTAGCTGACAACACTAAGGATTAAGAGAGTTCTGGGACCCAATTTCCAATGTGTGTGGGAGTTTCCTTACAGTAACAATTTTCAGACACCAGCTTGGTATCCTATAACCCAACTCAATTCTGACTATCAGCCTGGAGGTAGCAGCAGATTCCATAGTTTGAGGGCTCAGGCCTATAAGACTGCACCCCCTCCCCATCTCCCTACACACACACACACTTCAGACATCAGTCTCAAGTCCAGGTTGTTACCTGTACTTCTGACCTACTGGCTATAAATCAGAAGTTCTCATGGCCCCCTCCTTAGGTTTGATTAATTTGCTAGAGTAGTTCACAGAACTCAGAGAAACATTTTATTTCACTTAGTAAATTACCGGTTTAGTAGTAAAAGGATATAACTCAGGAACGGCCAGATGGAAGAGATGTATAGGCCAAGGTTTGGGAAAAAGGTACAGATCTTCCATGCCTTCTTCCAGCATGCCACTCTCCCTGAATCTCCAGGTGTTCACCAACCCGGAAGCTCTCTGAATCAGTCCTTTCGAGTTTTAATGGAGGCTTCATTACATAGGCATGATGAAATCATTGGCCATTGATCATTCAACTCAATCTCCAACCTCTCATCTCCAGAGTCCAGGAGTGGGACTGAAAGTTCCAACCTTCTAATCACATGAATTGCTCACCCCTTCATCCTTAGGTGCTTTCCAAAAGTCACCCTGTTAACGTAAACTCAGTTGTGGTTGAAAAGGGGCTTGTTGTGAATAACAAGACACCCCTTTCACTTTTATGGCTTTGAAAGAATTTCAGGAACTAAAGACAAGAGACCAAATATTATAACAAAAGACGTTCCCATTGCTATTATGGATTAAGAAGTAATGCTTTTGGGAGCTGTGTGTGAATCAGGAACTGTGGACAAAGACCAAACTATATATTTATTATAAATTACAATATTGCAGTGATATTTTTCATCTTTGAGTTTTTATTTAACCTTGTAGAAACTTGTATATTGTCTTTATTTTTTATTTTTAAAAAGTTAAAACTTTTTTTTTAATTAAAAAGGCTTAAGAATTTTCCCTGATTGTTAAATATTCTGATGGTTTTGAGATGAAAGAAAGAATGTAATTGTCATTTGAAATGAACTATTCAACTGCAGAAGTATCCTACAGATTTTGTAGCATGTTCTTTTGAATTAATCAATTTTATGAGAAGCACAGTACCAACATGATATCAAATGAAATGTATTAATATTCTCTTATGAGTACCTGTGATACTCTGTTGTGTCCATATTGTGAGCAACTAAATGACTATAGTTTTGCTTGTAGTTACTATATATTTTCCATAATCTCCACTATTGCAGTTCTGATATCTCAGTTTTGTAGATCTTTTGCTGCAGGAGCAGTTCCCATGTCACTGCTGATTCTGTTGAATTTTTGAAGGAGACGATATACATGATATTTGTGTACCATTTGCGAGGTGTAGGGTTAGCTCACATGGCTTTGTCAGCAGACAGGGCTTCCTCACATATTAGCATGTGTGTCTAGTCATGCCCTTTTAATCTCTGGAGTCAAAGAAGCCATAGATTGGAAGGAAGTGACAGTGAGTAGAAGACGATAGTTTTTTGAGTAAGTTGTGGGTTTACACTGGCTTCAGAAGTGTCTGTAAGGCTAGAGGGACTTAATACCCAAACTAGAGTCAAAACTTCTAAAGCTTAATGTACATATTTGGCTGGGTAAATGCATGTCTCCCTCTTACCCCCAGAAACCTAAATAAATACCCCAGCACCCAATATTCTTAGCTGAGTGGAGAGAGCACAGATAATATCTTCCGAGGACTTGGATTTTTGTGCTTCTAAAACCCTATAGGAACGCTTAGGGTTACAACTGACATTTCTTACTTTGAAAGGACCGTTGCAATTACTGATAATAAAGAGTTGGCCTTTCTCCACTGCAGATTGACATCAGTAAATGCCACTATTTAGTGGATTTGGACACCATGAGAGAAACACCCCGGGAGCCGAAATATTCATCCAGTAGAGAAGAATGGATCAGCTTGGCCTACAGACCATTCCTTGATGCTTCTAGGTATGTGGCTACAATCCTAAGAAAATGTACTAGGCTTAGTAAGGGTAAAAATCAGAATCTAGGATTGAATAACTTCCAGTCCTGGGCTGACTCTAGTAGCCATTTATTTTATTGTATTTTTGTTTAGGCTCAAACACATCTTTTATCTTTCTTCAATTTTCTGAGAAATCTAAAGGAGGGCTCTCTTTTTCTAGGCACCAGAATGCAAAGTATATTCGGGTATCATCCAAATAAAAGAATCTAAGTAAAGCAGATAGAAACTGAAGAAAATGCAAATAAGTGTTTGACATTGATTATTTTTGGCAACCAACTTCAGCTATCTTAGCTAAGAGTATTCTAACGTTGCTAAGAAGATTGACTCTGTACTTTAAGGAGCTAGACGTTCATATCTATTGTTTTTGGGCTCAAGGCTCAGTCAGGGATGGGATAGGCCTTACTAGATTTTAAATAGAAAGACCAAATAGACCAGGTCTTGAGAGGCAGGTCTGGGACTCAGAAACAGAAGAAAATGTTTTCAGGAGGAGGGAGTAATCGGAAGCTGCTGATGAATCAAGTAAGATGACGAATAACAACTGTCCATTGGATTTGGCACTGATAAAAGCAATTTTTTGGAGTGGTGGGGACATAGGGACTTGAGAGATTAGAGGGGTTAAAGCAAAAACAAAAGGATAAGAATTGGATAAGGCAAATATAGATAAGTCTTTTGAAGAGTTTAACAATAAAGAGAAACAGAAATAGGGCTATAACTGGTGGGGGGTAGGTAGGGA